AAATCCTTTAATTCTACTTTAGAGTTGCTTGAGTCGTGGAAGCCGCATATTTTTTTCGTGGAGACAAAAGTCTTAAATCCTACGACTGCTCTGGATATAACATTTTTCATTCATATCAGATAATATCAAAATATAACCAAAAATACTGCCAAATAGATGGAGCTTTGGTTTAATTAAAATCGTACGTACGTTSTGCGGCTTTCAACAATGTCATGCAAATTTCTATCAAACTAAACAATTAGATTTTTGTCTGTCATTCTTTACATAGAAAGGCTCAATACATCAAGCTGTAGGTATAACGATCGTATATAGAATTTTAGAGTCACRTGATTAAACACAGCAAATCAAATGCTTTGAGTTCAAAACAATTTTTTGCAACTGTTTGAAAATCTCGATGGGCGATCTTCAATAGAAGATACAATGAAATACTATGTTCACATTGTGATCCTTTGAGTTTAAACGTTAAACTATTCAACATTTCCTATTGCATTGGTATACGTTTTAGTCTGTAGGCGGAAGAATTGGTTACGTGAATATTGGACGTATATGAAAACTTGAAGGTCAGTGAAAACTTTGTTTTTTTTATCTACAAGGTTTGCTCGCACTGTATGTTTTGCCAGGATTCAAGATTGGAAGGCTTTGAGAACTTAAATCAACCTTTTAGAGCCCGTTAGGTAAGGAATAATAATTATTCCAGCTTCAGTTTATATAGCCGGAACAGTTTGAGTTGAGTTCATTTCAAAAACAAAAGAATATATATGTAGTTTTTGAATTTTCGGAAATGTTTCGCCCTGAAAGACACTCTCTTAAAAAGACAATTCACCAAACATATACCAYCGGAATATCTCCAGAGCAACCGGCATATCAATGTGATCGTAACTCTATGACACTAGTATTTGAMGATATATTTTGTTTAGCTCTTTGCTAAGGTTCTAGAGAGTTCTATTTCARCTAGTTTGTGTTGTTTTCGAGTGTACTTCGAGTGTACGACATCCGGCGGCGTACTACTCGTACATTATCTCAACTCCAAGCTTTACTAAGTACATCTGTATAATCCTACGTCGGTAAAAGRCAGAAAAACACATCTGCCTACACAAAGTTGTTTCTTCAAACAAACGCGCAAACTGTGACGGGGAACAACTCAACTTTAGTGAACGTTCCCAGATATCTTCATTTTAAATATCCCATTTTGCGTCATCAGTGCCAGATATCACAGATATAATCTGTAAGGTAATTTGACATATTCCACGGGTGCTGCGCTAAAAAGAGATTTGATTTTTTAATCAGTGTGTTTTGGAGATTACTCCTGAGATTGATAAAATATATCTGATATAAACMTGACAGCCGAAGCCTGAGTTAACTTTGAAAAGATTTCGAACTAAGAAATTTCAAAGTAATCCCGTAAAGTTGATGATTTTGTAAATATTTTTTCTTACTTTCTGAGGAAATCGAGTGTTTATGGAGGTACAGCCAATGCTATTAGTAMAGCTTATCAGGATTTTCCGGCTAACAAATCACTACGTATTAAGTGTGTAAAGAAAGCCTTTTTTCACACCGAACCGGGAAAACGGAGCCTAGCTGTTTTTGAAATATCAATTTGCGCGGCATTTTACGTTCTATTTTCAGATTCTTGCGGATATACAAAAATAGGAAAAACTGAATGTCTCTTGTTGATGTTTTCCTGAGGTTAAAGAGAAATATATTTGAGACGCGCTTAATATAAAAAAAATTTCCCGTCGTTTTATAACAAATAAATGAATTAAAAAGTTGAATGGGAAATAAATGTCTGAGGCTGGATCGCGTGCAAAGCGCGACAAGGGCATTTATTAAGTACAGGAAGAAGAAAAAAAAAACCACAGGAAGATTTTTTCAATCAAAATGAGGAGCACTAATATAATAATGAAAGTCGTAAGGCTTATATCAAGTCAAAGAATAAATAGCATAAATTTATATCTAGTTCACAAGAATACATATATCGTGGTTACTCTTCTTTAAAAGCGAATATTTCCAGTGCAAGGCTAGATCTAAGTTAATTTGCTAACACTAATCACACTAATAAAGCACTAACCTCTGGCCCAAAAGAAGTCATATAAAACTAAGACTTCCAAACAACAAAAACTTTCATTTCAACCACAACTGGGGAGAATATAAGAGATGATATGCAGTTTGAAAAACAACTAGATCTATTCGTCTTTGGCGAGATTTAAATAAAATAACTAAAATCCAT